TACTAATTCATTCTATAGAAACAGTTAGTTTTAAAAATTTCTTGAAGGTTAAGCATTGAAGTTCTCATTTGTGACCGATTGTTTGATTGTTCTTTGATGGTCACTGCAGATATGGAGTTGTGAAAGACATTGCTGACAATTCCTTTGTTCCTTCTGATATTCCTGAAGGATGTGTTCCAATCCACTTAAATCTTGTGGTAACTGTCGCTAACAATTATTGAGCTTTCCACTGTTAAAAATCATAGCGCCATAGATATAGAAGGAAAACTTAGACAAATAGTCTGCTTTATGACAAACTTTCTTGCCTTTCAAAATGATCCATCTGTGACAATTTAATCTCCAATTATGGATGCTAATGCTGCTTCATATTCTCAGGCAAGACATGGAACCCGGTCTCCTACAAAGAAAAGGACAAAGGAATTAGATTTTTGGAAGATAGTCTGAAATCACTGATAAGCGATGCTAAAAAACAAAATTTACCGTTGGATAGAGTTCCTTCATGGTTGCGTGAATGGGAATCTCCTTGGAAAGGACGGATCAATGGTGGTGAATTAATAAGCAAGGGAGAGAAGGAATTATATGAGCTGGGAATCAGGACTAGGCAAAATTTTCCAAATTTGTTTGATGAGGAGTACCATCCAGACATATATACTATAGATGTGACTCAGGTTAGTTTATCCTTAACTTTCTTTCCTCTGTCTGGATTGATTTGACTTGTTTTTCCCAATTTTTTCTCTCTGTTTGATTAATTCAGTTGGAAATTTGTGTCTAGTCAATATCAGTTTATTTCAAGAAAGAAATGAGTTGTCATTTTGAGTTGATGGGTAAATGCTGTGGTTTTGATGGTCAAATCTACTGCAACTGCAACTTATGTTGTCAACTAGGAATTTTAAGTATTCATATGTAATGTGAAGTGTCATGTCTTGTCGTACAAGTGTTTGGCAGGGGCTTTTCCACCAATAAGCCAGTAAAAGAAATTACTGAAATGCGACATAGTGGGAAGTATCTACTAAAATACTACACCAGAAATTGCTCACTTGTAAATCTGAACTCATTCACAAACTGAATGATTTCTGGGGTACTATTTTGGTAGATATTTCTTGCATCTCGGTGATTTCTTTAACTGTTTGTAGTATATTAGTAAAAAAGCCTTTTGGCCTGTGTCAAACACGAACGGCTCCTTTTATGAAGCGGATGGGCTTCATAGGCTGTGAATTAAGAAAGGACTTTTCTATGCTTGTACAGAAATTTTGACCTTAGAAAACTTGTGCAACTATCTTCTCTGTCAAACAGGTTCCTCGAGCATCAGCTAGTGCTGTGGCATTTGGAATGGGGCTTTTCAGTGGGAATGGAAGCCTTGGACCAGGGAAGCACCGAGCTTTTGCTGTTACAAGTGCAAGTAATGCCAGCGACATACTTCTGAGATTCTTTGATTCATGTAGTAACTATAAGGTATTTTGTGGCCTATGCATTTTAGATGGTACTTTACTGCATTGCACTATTTTTTTATCTAAGTTCCTTATATATATGCTTGTTATGCTTTATAATGCCATATATCTGTCCAGACTCTGTCTGTCACCCTGCTCATGAACTCTTTCTTTATCAATGAAGAGTTTCAGGAAATGGAAGGAGCCTGACGTTAATAAACTCAAGAAGCCTATCTTGGATGAGATTACTTCCGCATTGGTTGGCCGCTATGGGCTGAGCTTTACAAGGAAGGATATATCTTCTCTTTGGTTTCTGTGTAAACAGGTGATCACTACTTATCTTTGTGCCTTGCCCCTTTTTGTTTAAACGTCAAACAATTACTTCTGGTTTTGGGAGTCGACAACTGTGATTTTTTACTGATGCAATGGGGGGTTGCTTTTTTCTTTACAATTACCCAATTGGTGGTTGATCGTGGCAGGAAGCATCCTTGTGGGATAAAACAAATGGAGCATGTAAACTTTTCAACCCTTCTGAGGTATATAGTCTGAGACCTTACAGTCAAGACTTATTCTCTGTATTAAATGTCCTCTGGCATAAAAGATTTCTGAAATTGAGTTAACTTCGACCTGATTTTACGAGGCCAAGTTTGACTTGGTATCTGTTTATCCCTAACTATTGAATGCTCATTGAAATGTTGGTTTTGCTTGTGTCCTTTTAGATTACTTCGTTAGAGTGGACGGATGACCTGGAGCTGTATGTATTTAAAGGTTATGGAAATTCACTAAACTACAGAATGGCAGTGCCTTTACTTGAAGATGTTGTTGAATCCATGGAGCAAGCTATTCAAGCTAAAGAAGGTAGCTTACATATATCTACACACACAAATAATTTTTGTCAACTTGCTTATTTATAAGTTGGCTCCCATATGACTGCAGTAAACGTTGCCTATCTAGCAAGAAATCTTTTGTTTTCAAAAAAACGTACTCAGTTATATTCGCCTTGAATTTTATCAGAGACAAATTCACTATCTTGAAGCTTGAACAATTAAGTAAAGATTATAAATAGTTTAATAATACCTAATGTTCCCCCATCAGATGGGCCCATTGGGATTGAAGTTTGATAGAAACATTTTGGAGAACCATGACCCCAAAAGCTAGTCCATGAGTTTAGAAGGTTCAAGCTAAGAATTTGTGTGTTTAGTGTCGGACTAAAAATCCTATACCGTGCAATTGGGTTCTAACAAAGTGACTTAAAGTTTGTTAGGTAAAGGTCTTATAACAGTTTTATAAGTTCTAACTGTCATGTTGTTCTACCGTATCAAACATGTAATAGTATTTACAGATGGCTTAGATTTTTTGGGAAGGTCATACTTACAAATGGTCATGTAGTATATATAGTTGTTTGGCTTTTAAATGATGTCTGTATGAAATTTTCTTTTGGCATATTTTCATTTTGCTGGTTGTGGTTTTTTGCAGAAAAACGAACTCCTGGAAGCTATGAAAAGGCAAGACTTCGGTTTGCCCATGCTGAAACTCTACTTCCTTTCTCATGCATGCTCGGTCTTTTTGAAGGATCTGGTGAGGCTGTTAAAGTGACAGCATTACTAACTGAAAACTAAATCGTGGATCATATTACTCCCTCTAATCCTTAATATAAAGGTTATTTAACTAATTTGGATCGATTGAGAAAATGAAATAAATTAGTTTACTAAAACAAATACGACTTAACCTCCTTAAAGTAATCTTGTGTAACAATATGTTATATATCAGTTTATAAGTTAGGTACATTAGTCTGGTAAAAAATAATAAATATGGATAACAAAGTGGATTGAAGTCTCATATTTAGAATCAAATCCAACTCTATAACTAGCTTCTATATTAAGGATTGGAGGTAGTATTTTGTAATTGCTACTAGCAGTGTGCTTATAGTCCGTGTCACTTTGGCTTTCTGCAGAATTTGATCAGCTTCAAAAGGAGCAACCTGGGCAGCTCCATCAAATGCCTCCCCAGAAAAGAAAATGGCGGGGGAGCACCATGGTACCTTTTGCTAGTAACGACATGCTGATCCTCTATAGTTGTCCAGCTACGGGGAAATCCACCAGCAGCTACTTTGTGCGAGTTCTGCACAATGAACATCCCACGCCAATGCCAGTAAGCTTTTGAACTTGATCTGACATTATGCTAAGTTTAAGTTTAATGCTAGCTACAGTCTCGACTTAGCATTGTTAATTTTGTTATCATTTGTGCTTTTTGCTTTTGGTGCAGGCTTGTGACCATTCTGATTTCTGTCCATTTGAAGTATTCAAGGTAGTTTGAATAATCCTGATCTAATGCTTCAGATCGTCCATGCTGTACTTTATAGTTGTGGAATCCTTCTATTGCAGTATTCTGATTTCTATGTTCTCTTATACAGGAAAAGGTATATGCGCCTCATAAGAAGCATACGTTTGATACACTCTGTAACGGGAAGGGAGAACACACAGGTGACCAAGGAAAAGGTGATAACAACCGCAAAGATGAGCTTTAGGCTACCATGGGTTTCATTTAGCCCTTTTTCCTTGTTGGTGCCGCTTTACTAATTTTAAGCGTGGGAGGAAGCACCTATAATGAAATTGTAGAACAATGTTTCTGTTGGGTTTCATTTCGTGAATTTTGATAAAACTTAGCTCGACTTGTTACCAGTGAGATCAAACTCATTTTTTTCCTGGCATAATACGTCTATCATGTTTGATTGGAAAAACGAACTTTCTTACAAAAAAATCTGACTTAAATTTTGTCGTAAGAAATTTTTTACTGATTTTATATCTTAGTAGCCCTTTTTTCTTTTTTTCCCCCTAATATTTGCTCTGCTTATTGCAGCACGGTGTTGGCATGTTCAGGCCAAAAAAAAAAAAGTCATATTTTTAATTCTCAGCGATATTTTTTAAAATGTTACTACCCCTTCTCTTTAATATAAAAATTTGTTTAACTTTTATTTTAGTTTTAAATATAAAACTTAATATATTTTATCTCTCATATTTATTCGTTTTGTCTAAGATAGTCCATATGGCCAATACACGTGATTAGTAAGGATATTTTAAGTAAGATAATACTTATTTATTATAAATAACTAATCTAACTAATTTTTTAATTTATTTAACTTAGCTAACTAACTTTTATATTAAGGATGGGGTAGTAGTTTATAATTAAGGGGGGAACAGAATTAATTATTAATCATTTTAATCAATATACTACCTCTGGTCCTTAATATAAGATTTTGTTTGACTTTTATTTGGGTCTTAAATATAAGACCCCAATTCACTTTATCTCTTATATTTATACATTTTCTCCTAAGGTAGTCCTTCTAATAATAATAGTTCTGGCCAATACACTTGATTAGTAATGATATTTTAGAAAAGATAATACATATTTTTTACAAATAACTAACTCAATTTATCTTTTTAATCTTTTTAAATTAATCAACTATTTTTTATAATTAAGACGAGAGGTAGTACGATTGAAAAAAATATTAAATAACAGGTGAATTGCGCGACCAAAAGCCCCAAACATCCAGCCGACTCGTTACGCGTTCAGAAGCCCGAACATTCTCCCCTGTCACTTTTCAGTTTGTTGTAAATTGTAGTAATTCGAAACCTCAGCATGGACGCGACTGTGCAGTTAACCTTAGCGACAATGAAGCGTCCTATGCTTTCTCTCGCGATACTTCTCTTCTCCACGTCAATTTACTACTCTAATGCAGAAGGAGATTTCGATGTTCGCAAGCATCTCTCAACTGTGTCCAGGTCTCTTCCGAATTGCGATCTGATTTTTAATCGTTTCACTCCCTACATTTTATGTTACTGGGCGTGTAGTTTTAGTCGTTTAGTTAGCATTGATCTGTAAAACGTCTGGAATAATAGCGTCCTTGTTTCTCATTGACCCTAATTCGTGATTGTCTTCAGTAAATGGAATTAGCCTGGTTTATTTGGTAAGACGCTCACACTTATCATAGACAAGAGCTCTGCGTTTCATTTCATTGCTCTTGCCTTACACCAGACTGTATGCCTCTGTCCAATCTGAATAACTTGAAAGGATATCCTCATTTGATTCCGCAACTTATTTGACTCATCATATTGGGAAATCACTCGATTTAAACGCACAGGGCGCAAACACGCAAAAGCATATCAATGACGAGGACTTTATTCAGAACTTTTCAAAATAATTGTAAAAGCTTCCCCTTCCCTTACGAGGGCTCTTCAACCTACATGCTTAAACTTCAATTAAGTTCTGCTAGAGGTAGAGACTAAACTTGCTTATTGAAATTCGCATATATAATTATCGAATGCTGGAGGTTGTGAAATTTTTTTGTATTTCTAATTTAAATCCTTTTCAAGCTGATTAATTGAATTTAAATTAGGACATAATCATATCACAATAATTTTGATTCTCTATAATTCATACTCACCCTGCCCGATTTTCTATCTCTGGTGGTTATCAGTATGACTTAATAGGCTTGAACAAATAATATTTTTGTCCGAACATATTGTATACCATCTAATTCTGGACTGTAACTGCCGACATGGTGTAAGTGCAATAGTAGTCAAGTTGCAACTATGACTGCGTTGGAGCAGCATCTCATTGTTAGGATTTTGGGTTGCAAAACTTAAGTAGTTTTAAATTCAACAAAATGGTTTTGTTTAGTACTTGGACACTGTATTAAGATTTCAATAATTGTTCACTATTTTCTTGTCTCAAAAGTCAAATATCTGCCTAATCTAAGTTCATAACAGATAATGTGATTTATACAACAAATTGCTTCCGATAGCATTAAGTATCAAAATGGAATTGATATTGTGGTTCAATGAGCACGTTCTCATTTCAATGAGCACGTTCTCATTTCTTTAAAAAGATATATATTCTCATATGTTGAAAGAGACCATTGTGATTGAAAGCTGCTGCACACTAATTCATGCTATGGAAACAGTTCGTTTTGCTACTTGGGGTTTATTTTTCCTTTAACATGGAAGACCGATTAATGACTAACTATATTATTTTGGAATTTAATTTTTTTTTTAATTTTGTTGCACTATCACTTAACTAGCTGTTGATACTTAAGCTCACTGATGCAGGATTTAACCTTAGATAAATAAACTGAGTTTTGAAGAGATGGAGTCTAGTGTCTTGTTTTTCATTGTCCTTTATTCGTCAATGTCGGAAACATGTCTGGAATTAGCTTGAATTGACATGTATTGAGTGACATGTCCCTAAAAACTTTGTTTTTCCTTGGGTGTAGTTATAATCCTATATTTTTCTGAACAAGTGCCACAACTTTTCAACGACTGCCAGTGCTGCGCAGAGTATCATTATATTGTTTTAGTCCTGCAACTTAAGCATTAAATTAAGTGTTGAAGTTTTTATTTGTAAAAGATTGTTTGATTGTTCATTGGTTCTCACTGCAGATATGGAGTTGTGAAAGACATAGCGGACAATTCCTTTGTTCCTTCTGATATTCCAGAAGGATGTGTTCCAATCCACTTAAATCTTGTGGTAACTCTTCCTAATAATCGTTGAGCTTTCCACTGATGCAAATCATAGCGTCATAATTAGAATAGCTTAATTAGAAATAGGAGGAAAACTTTGGATAAATAGTTTTCCTTTGTTACAAATTTTCTTTCCTTTTAAAATGATCTATCTGTGACAATTGGTGATTAAAATTGTCTATCAATTAACACGATGGAAAATGGATGCTAATGCTGCCACATATTCTTAGGCAAGACATGGAACTCGATCTCCTACAAAGAAAAGGATAAGAGAATTAGATGGTTTGGAAGCTCATCTGAAATTACTGATAAGCGATGCAGAAAAACAAAACGTACTGTTGGACAGAATTCCTTCGTGGTTACGGGGATGGGAATCTCCTTGGAAAGGGCGGCTCAAGGGTGGTGAATTAATAATTAAAGGAGAAGAGGAATTATATGACCTGGGAATCAGGACTAGAGAAAAATTTCCAGATTTGTTTGATGAGGATTACCATCCAGACGTATATCCTATAAAGGCTACTCAGGTTAGTTTATCCAGCAATTTCTTTTCTTTGTCTACGTTGATTAGAGTTTGTTTTCTCAAATTTTTTTTTTTTGCCTGTTTTCAAGAAAGAAATGAATTATTATTGAGTTGATGGATAAATGCTATGGTTTGATGATCAAGTCTACTGCAACTGCAAGTTGTGAACTAGGAAGCATGGACACTGACATGCGCCCTATGACTTTACAAAATTAATTGTTCATATGTATTTTGAAGTGTCATGTCTTGTCATCCAAGTTCTTTGCATGTCCCAAACATGAACAGGTCCTTTTATGAAGTGGATGGGCTTCATGGGCTGTGAGTTAAGAAAGGAATTTTCTATGCTTGTATAGAATTTTTGACCTTAGAAAACTTGTGCAACTATCTTCTCCATCAAACAGGTTCCTCGAACATCGGCCAGTGCTGTGGCATTTGGAATGGGGCTTTTCAGTGGCAATGGAACCCTTGGATTGGGGAATCACCGAGCTTTTGCTGTTACTAGTGAAAGCCGTGCCAGTGACATACTTCTGAGATTCTTTGATTCTTGTGCTAACTATAAGGTATTTTGTGGCCACAATTCAGTTCTTATAGTACTTTTAATATGCTCTTAAGATGGTACCTGACTAAATTACACTATTTTATTTATCTAATTGTATATATAAATTTCTTTATGTACATATGCTTGTTATGCTTTATGATACCATATATAACCATCCAAACTCTATTTGTCACTCGGCTCATGAACTATTCTTGATATCTTTGTTTCTTTTTCAATCCCCTCCCCTCTATAAAAACATCATAAAGTTGTTACTCTAGTGTCTGGTTGATGATCAGAAAATAAGTAGCAGGTGTTCATTGACAGTGTGAGTTTGTCACCAAGAGACAGTTGATATTATATGGTTCATGCTTCCTTCTGCATGTTGACATTAAGACGTTGCACTTTGTATACCTGTATTAATATCATAGGTTGGATATGAAAGTTTTCTTTCTTTGTTTGTAAGGAAAATATTTGAGGTGAATCATAGGCAGCATAGTTATTGCTAAATGTTCATGCAAGATTATAAGATTAGTTGTGCGAAGTTCAACAAATGGGATTCAAGGAAATGGATTTTACCTTAATTGATATTATGTTGTGGGTGTTTGAGACTTCTTGTGATCTTCGGTGCTACTTAATATTAATGGGAAAAATTCAAAAAATGGGATTCAATGCAGAATTTCAGGGAAAGCCAGGAGCCTGCTGTTAATAAACTCAAGGAGCCTATCTTGGATGAGATTACTTCTGCATTAGTTGGGCGCTATGGGCTGAGTTTTACAAGGCAGGATATATCTTCTCTTTGGTTTCTGTGTAAACAGGTGATCAATTATCTTTGTGCCTTGCCCCTTATCGTTCAAACGGGAAACAATTACTTTTGGCTTTGGGAGCCTACAATATTTTACTGATGCAATGGAGGTTTCTTTTTTTTCTTTATAATTACCCAATTGGTGGTTGATCTTGGCAGGAAGCATCCTTATTGGATATAACAAATCAAGCATGTAGACTTTTCAGCCCTTTTGAGGTATACAGTGTTCATGATATTGCAATGTAATATGAGACCTTATAGTAAAGATCTATTCTCTGTATTAGATATCTTCTAGTGTTAAAGATGTCTGAGTTAATTTCTTCCTGATTTTATGAGGCCAAGTTTGACTTGGTTTTTCCATCTTGATATAGAACTGGAAATCTCTTCAACGTGTAGATGCTGCTGACTAGTGATAGTGAAATAGAAGGGATGGATAATGAATAGGTTGTTGTGAACGCTTAAATAACAAGATTGTAAATATGCTTGAGTTGGCATATAAAAAATTGATGAGATTTTCTGTTCTATTAATTCATTAAGGACTGGTCATTAGTGACTGTTAATAATGATAGCCTATAAATACTAGTCTAAGGTTATTCTTTGATGTTAACGACGGATTAGCACCATTCAGGTTCTGAATTCTCTCTCTTTCCTTATTCCATTTCTATAACAGCGCCCTTTCTTGTTACAATTTCCTATCATTTCCCTACTTAGTGCTCAGTAATTTTTCCTTCTTTTTTTTTTTTAATTTTTAAAATCAAATTGTATCTGTTTATACCTATACTATTGAGTGCTTATTGAAATGTTGCTTTTACTTGTGTGCTTAGATTACTTTGTTAGAGTGGACGGATGACTTGGAGCTGTATATATTGAAGGGTTATGGCAAATCCCTAAACTATAGAATGGGAATGCCATTACTTGAAGATGTTGTTGAATCCATGGACCGAGCTATTCAGGCTAAAGAAGGTGTGTGTGTTAATATTATTACAGGCACTCCGGTGTGGGCAGTTGCTTCCACATCATTCATGGACGAAACTCAAATGAATTTGCACAAAAGATAGGACCTTTGCTGCAATGAAGTTATTATAACTTGATTCATATTTGACTGTACTAAACATTGCCTACCTTGAAGAAATTTTGTTTCCCAAAATTCGTAGTCTGTCATATTTATAATCATTTGCTTTATGAACTGATCGTCTGGTATATAATTCCTTGATGTATTTCAATTATAACATCACATTGCTGTCTGACTTGTATTCATATCTGTCGTTCAGATATCAGGGATTTTACTGTTGGCTGGAATGTGTTAATGATTCTCTCTCTTCATATTTTGATTGTGTTTGGTGGGCCCCCCCTCCCAAAAAAAAAAAAACCTTTTCCCCTAATTCCACGATAGATTTTTGTTTGCTTTTCATAATATATGGATTTCAAAACGCATGTTTTGGAATACTATATTTTGAACTTTCCACTGTTCTATTGGTTGAGTGTTTTCTTTATGCAAAATTTGAAAGGAGAACTTTTGGTGTCTGTAGTATTTATGGTTGATTTGCCTTTTGAACGATGTCTGGATGAAATTTTCCTTCAGCATATTTTCATTTTGCTGGTTATTTTTGTAGAAAAACGGACTCCTGGAAGCTATGAAAAGGCAAGACTTCGGTTTGCTCATGCTGAAACTGTAGTTCCCTTCTCATGCTTGCTTGGTCTTTTCCTTGAAGGATCTGGTGAGGATTTTACAGTGATAACAGGAATAAATGAAACTTAAATCATGGATCATATTATTTTGCAATTGCCACTTGCGATGTGTTTATACTCATTGTCACTTTGGCTTTTGGCAGAATTTGAACAGATTCAGAAGGAGCAACCTTTGCAGCTCCCCCACAAGCCTCCACAGAAAAGAAAATGGCGGGGAAGCACTGTGGCGCCTTTTGCTGGTAACAACATGTTAATCCTCTATAGCTGTTCAGCAACAGACAAATCCACCAGCGGTTACTTTGTTCGAGTGCTGCACAATGAACATCCCATTCCAATGCCGGTAAGCTTTTGGGATCGATGTGGCGTTATGCAAGTTTAAATTGAATCTTAGCTACTGTTTCAATATTGGTGTATGAAATCCTATTTAAACTTAGCATTGTTAATTTTGTTGCCATATGTGATTTTTCTCTTGTACAGGCTTGTCACGGTTCTGATTTCTGTCCATTTGAAATATTCAAGGTAGTTGAATAATCCTGCTCTAATGCTTCAGATCATCCGTGCTGTACTTTAGCTGTGGAATCCTTCTATTGCAGTATTCTGATTTTTGTGTTCTCTTGCGCAGGAAAAAGTAGTCACGCCTCATAAGAAGCATGCGTATGATACAATCTGTAGTGGGAATGTTGAGCACACGGGAGACGAGTTTTCTCAAATGTCTCTCTCGCAGGGAAAAGGTGATGATACCCGCAAAGATGAACTCTAGACTGTTTACTGGGAAAAAGAGAACCATAATTTTCTTTTTATCTCTTTTCCTTGGTGCCATTTTACAAATTTTCAGCGTGGGATATGGCCTCTTGAATAAAGATTCTGCTGCCTGCAGATTAACCTCTTTGTTATAATGAGATTGCTGCTTGATTTCACCTAATATGTGGAGAATTCAGAGCTGCAAACACGTTGTGCTTTAGTTTAGTTTGTTCCAGGATTTTGCTGATTCCACCATAAAGGTGCTAGCTAAATGTTTTATTTTCATCTGTTCCTTAAGCTTCAATTTTGTTATTATAGAATAGAGAGATACTTGATCAGCCAACTTCGTTTCGTGACTTGCATTGTAATAGTCCTATTTATGTTTTGCCCTGGTTTCTGTAGAAAAATTTTATATGGGGTGTCAGAAAACATGCTTAGAAATGCATGATGATTACCTAGGAATCCTAGGGAGTTGATTTGAGCATGCCAGTGCTTTTTATACACACGCTATTCAAAATGTTCTACCTAATTACCCGAATTCGACAATTTATAAATTAATTATTCCGATGACGAAAAAATTATTATCCGGTTTAAAGACATGCTACGAAATTTTATAATAGTTATTCTGAGAATTAAAAGGAGTTGTTACTCAACTTATTTAAAACTTTAACCTTTTTTAAACTCAATACCATACAGTTAAATATTTCATAATAAATCTTTAAATTAAAATATTAAATTTAAAATGAACAAAATTCACGAGGGGAACAAATAAAAATAAAGGAGATCTGCAAAAAAACTTATGAATATGTAAATAAAGTAAAAACATTATAACGCAATAAAGGCCCGGCGGTACCCGTTCTGTAGTAGTACAACTATTTGTTATTAATTTTTAATAATTAAAATTAAAAGTTATAATTAATTTGAGTAAGTGGTCCGAAATTTTCGTTTTTATTTATTTATTTTTGACTAAATTCTCATTTCGTTTCTCACCTCTCTCTCTGACCGGCGATCGGCTGAAGCTCCTAAGTCCTATCCATCGCCGCCGCCACATAGCCCCGAACTCGGATCGGACCCACTTCCCAACCCGAATCTGGGAACCTGCACCTCCCACTTTCTCCTTATCTTGTCTGTACCAACGCCCCTTGCCTTGAACTTTATCATTTATTTAGCACACTTCACTTTGTGCTTACAAATCGATTTGCGTTTCCACGGTTTCAGTGCCTTGAGAATTCGCAGTTTGCTATCTGTTCAGTTTTGCTTCAGCTGGGATCCCAAGTACATGTGCCGATCTAGGTCTTCAATCCCCATTTCCTGCCCCAATCTGTGAGTTTTCTTTTTCTTTAATTTCTGTAACAGAATATTTTTATACAATCCGGTTTTTTTAATAAAAATAAATGCATTCTGGTGGTGAAACTTTGAGGACTCTTGTGCGAAAATCTAGGTTTCGATCAGTTTTTGTTTAATTGGTTGCCGATTGCCGATTGCCGATTGAAAGTTTGGTAATTTTCCGCTTTTGGAGGGTGTCAAGGGATTAGATGGTTGCTTTGGTTTCTGGAAATTTTCACTGACGTGGGCAGTTTGATTTTTCAAAAAGTAATTTTTTTTGGTTTTTTGAAATAAAGTGAAAAAAAATTATACAAAAAAGGAAGGCAAGGAAACAATGGCAAATTTGTTTCCCAGGGTGAAGTGAGGTGCTCTCTCATCCTTTTTGCAATGGCAAATTTGTAATAATTTGTCATTTTCAGGGTAGTCTCTCTCGCGCCTCATTCCCAGATCTCCCTCGCCGCAATCTTTCTGGGCACTGGGCAGATCTCTCTCGCCTCGCGTTTCCCTCACACACTCACTGCTCGTGGGTCCTGGGCGTCGCCCTTCTCTTGCTACTCTCAGGTGCTTGGCGCTCTCACTCACTCTCAGCTTTGTCTTCTTCGTCTTTGGTGAGGTAGTCTTTCTTTATTTCCCGCTCAACCTTCGTCTTCCTCTACGGCTACCCCTTTTATCTCTCAGGCTTCGATCTTTCTCAGCTATTGTTAGTTATTTTCTGCTGTTTGAAAACCTGCATCTTCACTTCTCGAGGTGAAGCCACTGTACGTAGTTGCATCTATTCTGCATTTTCTTCGATGCTTGGGAACAATTCTGCGGGAAATAGTTCTTGGTTTATGAGCATCAAAGTGTTTTATTTATGATATTTCTGCGACCTTTTGTGGGATCAATTCAGTCGCAAGATTTGCTGCTAGTGCATATTTTCCTGTTTTATTTGAGTTGACGGTTTTCCCTCTTTCAAAATAAAATTTTGAATTTATGCTGGGATTTGAGTATTTGTTGAGAGTATTACGTATTGTTGCTTGTGAACGTCAAATGAAAATTTTGTTAGCCTCCAAACTCAAACTATTGTTTCTTTACTAAAAATTTTAGCAGACATAAAGTCCAGATGCGAGGATGGAAGCCCTGTGACAGATAATTATGCTGGGCTGGTCATAGCTTTTGCTAAAAGAGTGGAATTCTGAAGTTCCCTGGGTTCCTACATGGAAGCAAGCAAAGAGGAGGCGCTTCAGGCAATAGAGGTTGCTGAGAAGCGATTTGCTCAGAGAGACTTTGCAGGTGCCAAAAGTTATGCATTAAAGGCAAAAACAATATGTCCTGAATTGGAGGGAATACCTCAAATGGTGGCTACATTTCAAGTTTATGTAGCTTCTGAGGCAAAATATAATGGCGAAGTAGATTATTATTCAATTCTTGGAATAAAACCTTCAGCAGATAAAGAGACCGTTAGGAAACAGTATAGGAAGCTGGCTGGGTTGCTTCACCCGGATAAGAACAAATGTGTGGGAGCTGACGGGGCCTTTAAGCTGGTATCTGAAGCATGGACTTGGCTATCAGATAGTGCCAAGCGAAGTTCTTATGATCTCAAGAGAAATACACAAACGGCTGCTGGGGTCAATCAGACGAATTTGTCATCAGTCCATTCTGCAGGAACTACAGGTTATAACAAATGTTTCAATTTATCAACTTCTCATGGTCGGCATGATACTTTCTGGACCATTTGCACTTCATGTAATGTCCAGTATGAGTACTTGCGTAAGTATGTGAATAAGAGACTTTCATGTAAAAACTGTCGGGGAACTTTCATTGCTGTTGAAACCGGGGCAGCCCCAGGAAACGGTTCTTTCCCTTACACTCCTTGGTCATATGTGCCGGGCAATGGGTATGGAGGTCATTCATTTGATAATGTCACGTATGTGCCTACCAATACCAGCTATTTCAATGGCAATGGTATCAGTGGATATCATTCTCCACATGGATATGAGTATGTTTCAAATGTTTCATTTCAGTGGAATCCTGCTGGACATGTCAATGGAAATGGTTCAACTCCCCTATCTTCTGATTCTGTTTGTAAGGTCAATGGAAACAGGAAGAGAGGAAGACCAAGAATCAAACCAACAGTTGATCCGAGGCATCAATCAGCAGAGACTGTGCAAAATGTAAATTCAGATGTATCATTCCACTGTAACGAACCTCAGGAAATTAAGCCCACTAGACCTGACAAAAAAAGGAAAATTGTTGTGGCAGCCAGTTTCCGAAATGGCTGTGAACAAAAGGAATTGAAATCAGCTTCTGAATCAAGATTAGCTGATGGGAATGAACGCATTGTACATGACCAGAAAGTTTCCTGTGCAAATGAAGTCCAAACTAAGCAGTATTCCATGGCACCAGCATTTGATGCGAGAAAATTACTGATTGAGAAGGCCAAGGCGGATATTCAGAAGAAACTGGAAGAGATGAAACTGGCATCTGACGCTGCTGCTGTTGGGGAGAAAGCAAAATCTCTAGCAGAAGCTGGTCAAGTCAATAGAGAGGAATATAAAAGAGCATGTCTAAGTGTTTCTGACCATCAATTAGAGCATAGGAAAACTGCTTCCGTCACATAACTGTCCCGGATTCTGACTTTCATGACTTTGATAAAGACAGGTCAGAGCAGTGCTTTAAGCCAAAGCAAATCTGGGCTTTATATGATGAGGAAGATGGCATGCCTCGTTTATATTGTCTAATCCGTGAGGTCATCTCTGTCAATCCATTTAAGATTCATATTAGTTATTTGAACTCAAAGACTGACAGTGAGTTTGGCCCAGTGAACTGGATGGATTCTGGTTTTACGAAATCTTGTGGAAATTTCAGGGCATACAATTCTGATGTTGTTGACCAGGTAAATGTTTTCTCTCATCTTCTAGCACGGGAGAAGGCTGGTCGAGGTGGTTGTATTCGGATTTATCCGAGATGTGGAGATATTTGGGCTGTTTATCGAAACTGGTCTCCAGACTGGAATAGATCGACTCCAGATGAAGTGAGGCATCAGTATGAAATGGTGGAGGTTCTTGATGATTACTCTGAGGAGCTTGGCGTTTGTGTTAGTCCCCTTATAAAGCTGGATGGATTTAAAACAGTGTATCAAGCAAATTCAGACAAAAAGGCTATAAGATGGATACCGAGGAGAGAAATGCTACGCTTTTCACACCAAGTGCCTTCTTGGTTGCTGAAGGGAGAGACAAGCAACTTGCCAGAAAGGTGTTGGGACCTTGACCCGGCTGCAACTCCTGATGAACTTCTTCATGCTGTTACAATCGCGAATGCTTCATAGGCAACAATGAAACACTTATTTGGTTTCTAATTAAGAATTTTCAACACTATCTATTCTGATTTAACTGTACACTATGCCACGCTTGGCCAGAGAACATGAGAATTAACCACTTATGTCTTTTATTTGGGGGTGGAATTCTACTTTTTCGATGTGTATAGGCTCCCAAATCTAGGATTTCTTGTTCACTAAGGTTTGCTTCTTGCCCCCATAGGAGCCAGGTAACTCTTGTAAGAATTCAGGACAGATTGGATCTGCCTGACAGCAGTGTAGCTCTGGCCAGGATTGACTGGCAAAGAA